AGGTCGTCTGTCGTCTCTAGACCGTGATGGTCCAGGTCGTCTGTCGTCTCCAGACCGTGATGGTCTGTGTCGTCTGTCGTCTCCAGACCGTGACGGTCCAGGTCGTCTGTCGTCTCTAGACCGTGATGGTCTGTGTCGTCTGTGTCATCTCTAGACTGGGACTGTCCATGTCGTCTATCTTCTCTGGACCGTAGCAGTCTGCATCGTCTGTCATTTCTGTTCCGTGGTGGTCCGTGTCGTCTGTCTTCTCCAGACCGTGGCGGTCCAGGTCATCTGTTGTCCGTAGACCAGGACAGCCTGTTTCTTCTGTCATCTCTAGTCTGTGACAGTTCGTGTCATCTGTAGTTCAGGACAGTCCATGCCATTTGTCGTCTCCAGTCCGTGATGGCCTATGTCGTCTCTAGTCCTGATGGTCCATGTTGTCTGTAGACAGGATGGTCTGTGTTGTCTGTTGTCTGTAGTCCGTGATGGCCTTTGTCATCTGTCATCTCCAGTCCGTGATGGTCCATGTCCTCTGTCATCTGTAGACCAGGACGGTCCCTGTCGTCTGTTGTCGGCAGTCCGCAATGGCCTATGTCGTCTGTTGTCTCTAGTCTGTGACGGTCCATGTTCTCTGTTGTCTGTAGACCAGGACGGTCCGTGTCATTTGTCATCTAGACTATGGTAGTCTGTATTCTCTGTCTGTAGACGTGGTCTGTGACATCTGTCGTCTCTTAAAATGCAGACCAAGGTGGTCTATAATGAAAGTTCTGGACCAGCATTGGAGGGTCAGCAAAGGGAATCTCTGGCCTTGAGAAGTCTGGGAAGAAAACGTGTCGTGTGTTGAGGCCTTGGGGTTGGGACTGAGGTATGCAAACAATCATGGCAGGTCCCACTGTTAAGAATTCAAGAAAATGCCAGCAGCCTTTTGTGTGACAGAAGGCAGCTGCATGGTTGCCTGGAGAAAGGCTGAGGTAGGGGAGACAGATGAGGGCAGGAGGAGACTGGCTAGGTGTGTCTGTCCCATGGAGCAGACCGGGGCTTCACAGGTGTGCACAGGTGTCCTGACCCATCAGCCCCCACACCTCATGTCTGTGCATATGGCCGTAGGCCGGTCACTGCTCACTGTGGCTGCCTAGTGATGCCCCGATTTCATGTGTGTGAGCTACCAGGTGGGTGGTTATGAACTGAGGGGTCTGGTGACTGGCGTAGACCGACGGAGCTCAGTGGGTTCTCAGAGCGTCAGAAGACAGCTACTGCGCCTGTCGTGCCAGGATCACACTTTCTTTGCTGCCTGCGTCGGAAATATTTGCCCTTTGACTGCTGAACCCAGGTGAGCTCTTTGAACCAGACGTAAACCCAGAGTCCGATGCGGTGAAGGCAGCACGGTGTGCGGCTCCGCGGGCGACAGAGCCCCGGTGATAGTGGGGGACGGGGGAGCATGTCAGTAAGGAAGCGGGGAGCTCTGGGTGCCCTCCGTCTGGAGTCACCCAGTCATGCGGGCACTCTTCACCTGTCCTCAGGCACAGGACCAGCCGTGTCGCTGAGGGCTCTGTAAGCTGAGAGTGTGGGTCCCCTGTCCGAAAAGCGGAAGAGTTTGAGATGAGCCCAGCAGAGCAGCCCCGTGAGCACGGCGCCCCCCATGCCGCACCCGCACCAGGGTCTGTCCCCACGACAGGAAGGCTCGGGATGAATGGTGTCTGTGTGCGCCGTGGCCTGAGCCTCTTCCTGTCTGTCTGCACGGTCCTGGCTCAGCCCTTTTGAGACTGTTGGCATTTTTCTCAAAACTGGGGGACTCCGCTCATAGTGCTCATGTCCACCATGACGCAGGCAGAGGCGTCAGGTTTGCATCTCTGCTTTTCCTCTGGCCACTGGGGGCTCCCGTTTCCTCCCGAGCCCTGTTCCTCGGGGCCGCTGAGGGGGCTGTGCCGGGCACCAAGCAGATGCTCCCTGCTCTTCTCCGTCAGCAGAGCACAAGACAGGACTTTGTGTACAGGTTTTTACTTTAAGATTTTATTTTAGAGAGAGAGAGATGGAGAGAATAAGTGGAAGGAGCGACAGGCAGAGGGAGAAGCAGGCTTCCCGCTGAGCAGGGAGCCTGACTCGGGGCTCGATCTCAGGACCTCGGGATAGGACCTGGGAGCCGAAGGCAGCTTCACCCACTGAGCCACCAGGTGCCCACGTGTACAGGTTTTAGTCCGTGTTTTATTTATGCTTCGGGCTTAGTCTGGGGGATGTGTGAGACGCATCATGAGGCACGTGTGCAGGGGCAGCTGGGGAAGGTGCCAAGGACAAGGAGCAGGGACGCGTGGGTCCCTGAGCCAATCCCAGGGAAGGCCAGCAGCTCCCAGTTCTCACGTGGGAGAGAGCAAGGCACTTGCCTGACCTGAGGCCCTTGGGTCCCTGCAGGGCTGCTTTCCAGCAGGGGCGGGGCCTGAGGATTCTGGGGTCTGGGGGAGGCTGCCTGGTTCCAATCCTGGTCCCATGTGTTGTGGCCGGGAGCCTCCGAGCAGTTCAGTCCACCTCTTGTGCCACCCACCCCTGAACGGGGGCGGGGACAGCGCCCACCTCAGAGCCCCAGAGTCTGACTCCAGGGAGGGCTGCTCGTGGCGCACTGGTGCCGGTGGGGGGCACGCTGGCGTTTCTCTGTTGATAGAAGATCCGTGGTTTCGGAAGGGAGCTCTCGGGCTGAGTTGCCCTCTGCAAGTGTATGTTGACGTCTTGACGCCCAGGACCTCATGATGTGCCTGTGTTTGGAGAGAGCATCTTTAAAGAGCTGATCGAGTTACAGTGAGGTCAGTAGGGCAGACCCAGATCCCAGGGCTTGGGGGACACGAGGAAATCAGGCACAGGCAGGCGCCGAGGGAGGACCACACGAGGACGTAGGGAGAAGACGCCAGTCTGCAGGCCACGCAGAGAGGGACCAGCCTGCCCACACCTTTGTCTGGAACCGGCAGCCCCAGGACAGGGAGAGAGAGTCTTGGAGCTCTCAGCCCCACCTGTGGAGTGTGTAAGGGTGGCCCCAGCGTCCTGGAGTTAGGATGTGTTGTCGTCCCCAGACACTGGGGAAGAGGGCGTTCTGCAGGCCAGTCTGTGTGTACTCCACCAGACGGTGGCCGGGGCCTCCCACTGGCCCCACGCACACCTGCTCCTGCAGGTGTCTGGGTGGTCTTGGGAGGTGCCCGCCGGCCCTGCCTGCTAGTGCCTCGCTGCTGGTCTTTTCCTGAAAGGTCTGTGTTCTGGCAGGGACAGTTTAAGGTGTCATTGTGAACCAGGACCCGAGCTGGGAGCCCCAGAGTGTGGAGGCCAGATATCAGGCACCTGCTGGGTGCCCGGTGCTGTGGTGGGCAGGTCACCTGCTACCTGTTTGGTCCCCAAGCCCAGCTGTGCGTGGCAGCGTCCCACCCGGCTCAGGGGAAATCCTTCCTGAATCTGCCTTCGGACTCCTGGAATCCTGGCCACTGTCCTTCGACCTCCACCCTCTTTGGTCTTCCTGGCCTTTCTGTCCTGTTTCTCAAAGCCTGGTCAGAGGTGCCTGGGGGGCTCAGTCATTAAGCGTCTGCCTTCAGCTCAGGTCATCGTCTCAGGGTCCGGGGATCGAGCCCTGCCCTGCGGAGCAGGGATCCTCTCCCCCCCCCCCCTGCTTGTGTTCCCTGTCTCGCTGTGTCTCTCTCTGTCAAATAAATAAATAAAATCTTAAAAACAAAAAAAGAGGCCTGGTCAGCTCGGTGAAATTTTGAGCATCCCGCTGTCCTTACGTGGTTTTCCGGTGCCGCCCCGCCCTCCCCCACTGCTGCTTATGGCCCTTTGTCTTCCCCTGGGCAGGTGTTAAGAGAACCCCTCTTTCCACGCTCTAGCCCCAGACCCGTCAGCGAGGTGTTTTCCTCCAGGCCCCAGGGCAGCTCCCCTTCCTGCACGTGCCCGGCCACCCTCCAGCCATCTCTGCACACCCGGGCCTGCCCTTTCTAGAACTTCCGCCTCCTGATCTCCCCCGTGTCTGGTGTCTGATTTGCAAGGGGAGAGCTCAGAGTGTCTTGCTGAGCGGCAACACGGCTTAGCAGCTGCGCTCACAGCCTCTGAAGCCGGAGCGTGAAGGCGTCAACGGCAGCGCCACCCGGCACGCCGCGCGCCGCTCTGGTGGGGAAGGGCCTGCCGGTGTCTCGTCCACGGCGGTCCGCGGCGAGTGCTGGCTGTGGCTGGCCCCAGAGGCGCACAGGGCGGTGCTGCCTCCTTCCAGAAGAAACAGCGTCGGGTGTTTGAATCAGTGAGTGGCGCGGCTGCTTCTGTGGCCTCTGCTCCGAAGTGAGCTCACGTGTGCCCTCGCTCCGTGCGCGCACCCGGCCAGAAGCCTTGCGAGCTGAGCCGGCCGGCGGGCGTCCCCACGCGCATGCACCCTGGCGTCCCCTGTCCACGCCGCTGACAGTGGGGATGGTCTCCGCCGCCGCCTTCACCGGCCGCCCGCTTGCTGGCGTCCGCGCGCCGTGTCTGCAGCCCGGCCGGCCTGCAGGAGCTCAGGAGGCTGCGCGCCCGCCCCCGGGGCCTGATGGTGGTCCTCGCACTTGTGCCGTGCCAGCAGCTTCCTTTCTGAGGATGAGGAAAGGCCACGGCTGTGAGATTGGTCCCGCAAGTGGACTGAAGAAAACAGAAATAAAGGCTGGTTTAGACGGAGCCTTGCCCTGTCCCCCGTCTGTTCCTTTATTCCCCTCCTTTTTTAAGATTTTATTTGAGAGAGAGCGTAAATGGGGGGAGCGGCAGAGGCAGAAGCAGACTCCCCGCTGACCGGGGAGCCCGACGTGGGACTCCATCCGAAGACGCTTTGATCACGACCTGAGCCAGCCAGGTGCCCTTTCGTTCATTCCCTTGGGTTTGCCGAGCGCCTGTCCCGATCAGATACAGGCCCGGCACACGGAGGGTTTAGGGTGAAGGTGGCCTCCCACAGGATGCCACGGGTCGTGGTCTTGAGTGTGAGGTTGCCAGGGCGCTGCGCTGGGCGTGGGGGAGGCGGGTGTGGAGGGAAGGTGGGAGCAGGGCCCAGGAGGAGCTCTCGCTGGTCGGGCTGGGAGCGCAGGGCTTGAGCTGAGGCGGTGGCGGCAGGACAGAGAAGATGAGCCTGGCGCCTGTGGGTGCGTGCACGGCCCGGGAAGCAGGAGGCCGCCCTGGAGCAGTGACGGGCGTCTCTCGCATCTCGCCGTGCCCGGTGCGAGCTTCTCTCCCAGCGCCCGGCTGGGCGGCGTCCGTGCACCCCCACAGGCTCCTGCTCCCACCCTGGGAGCGCACGTGGGTGCGCGGTTCTCCGGCCGGCTGTCCGAGTGTGCCCACGCCCCAGGCTCAGCACCGAGAGCTGTGCACACGGTGCCTGTACACTGCCCCGTGCTGGGAGTTCAGTTGATGTAACGATGCGCAAACTACGTTCATTCGGAATCATCGGTAAGAAACCCACCACGTGCTGACACACGTGTGCGAACGGGAACTGTTTCCTGGAGCGGTTTAGGACAGTGGCATGGTTTGGCATTGTTGCGAATCTGGGTGTCTGGGGTCCTGGCTGGAGCGGCCGGACTGTCCCGTCTTCCCGACCCCACAGACGGGACAGAAACGCACTCCAGCTCCTCCAGATGCCTGCGGCTCGTCTGTGGTGGCACCGCCTCCCAGCGAGCTGCGACCGGGAATCTGACCTCTTGGTGAACGCCTCCCGCGCTCTGATCCACGGAAATCTGCCCCATCCTTGGGGTCTCCGGCCTGGGTGGGGTGTCGCAGTGTCCGCATCAGTCGTTGGGAAAACAATGGTTCATTCTTTTATCCGGAACGTCCATATATTGACGTTTCATTTCATAATTTAAAAAAATCATTTTCGGGGGTGGGAGGTTGGGGGAGCCTGGAGGTGGGTATGAGGGAGGGCACGCATTGCATGGAGCACTGGGTGTGGTGCATAAACAATGAATTCTGTTACACTGAAAAGAAATTAAATTAAAAATAAAATAAATCATGTTCTCATCAGAAAAGTCTTTGAGCCTGAAAGCTGCCAAGAGATAGAAAGCTTCCGAAATGGTCATTTTCTCTTAAATGTGTAGGTGTTACGGGCGAGAAGTCCTGTTCATTCTCCTGGAAGGGACAGGCTCCCTTAGTTCTTTCTGACAAGATGCCTGCAGGTGCACAGGCCTGCGTCTCCGTGGCACGTGCCCTCCTCGGAGACGACCCGCGCGCCCCGTGACGGGCTCCGCACACCTCCCATGCCTTCGCTCGGAACACGACAGAGGCCGGCACCCAGGGTTGAGGTTGAGTACAACTCAGGACGTCCTCAGGCTGCATCTGATTTCCACGAGTGCGTGGTGGGGAGGTGCCAGGGCCCTGGGGCAGCGAGCTGGCGGGCCCGTGTGGAGATGCCAGTGCCGACCCCCCCTGCAGCTCCTGCACCATCAGCTCGTGCCCTCATGGCGAGGGGTCTCCCTCGTAGCCGCCATCACGGGGTGGGTTCTGTGAGGGGGGCAGACACAGCCGCCACCAAGGTCACCAGAGCCATAGGGACAGCGGCTGCACCTCATCTCACACTCAGTGGAGGGGCTGGAGGCGGGATCAGGGCTCGGACTGTCCCTAACCCAGCCTCTTTTTGGCTGATTCAGAACACTTGCGCTCCCGAGGTGAACATGCAGGTTTCAGTCCCCTGTGGCTCCAGGACCACCTTCCTTACATACTCTCATTTCCGAGGTCACTATGTCACTCTCTGGAGCCTAGACCTGCTCCCAGGGGAGGGAAGGGGACTGGTATCTTAACCTAGATGGGCCGAGTGATTCCACGTCCTCCTGAAGGACCCGTGACTGGTGGATCTTCACAGGAAAACAGAAGAGGCCCCGAGGGACAGAGGTGTGGGGATACTGTTGGCGGGGGGTGGCAGATGCCCTCAGGTCAGCCTGGGGGTTGGGGGCACAGCACAGATGGACGATGGGGGACACAGCCCTGAACTTCTGCACATACCAGAGATGTACGTGCCCAGCTGCTGAGACGGCTCCGACCTCTGCCCCTCAGCAGCCCCCTTGGCCCCACTGTGACCTTGAGCCCCTGCCCCGTGTGTGCGGGGCCCCGAGGACGCTCCTAGCAGCTCAGTGAGCTGGGCAGGCAGCTGGGAGGGGAGAGCGGGAGCCAGAACTCGCTGGGCGGGAGGGGCATGCAGACTCTAAGAGGAGGGAAGGGTTTCTCTGAAGTTAGCTGTTTGGTTTTATTTGAGGAATCTTAAGTGTCTTCTTTCTTTCTTTCTTTCTTTCTTTCTTTCTTTCTTTCTTTCTTTCTTTCTT